TGTTCTGTGTAAATAATGTAAAAGGGGTAGAAAAATTTTAAAAAATTTTTTTTCCCAAAGGGCCAAAATCAAAACTTTCCCCGTAACCAAAAATGAAAAATTTCAGGGGGTTTTTTTGGGGGGTTTTTTTGGCTTTTTTTTTCAAATTATTACTCTCTGTAAACTCTCTTTAATCAAGTAAAAATTATACTAAACTTTTTTCAAAAATTGAACTCCCAATAAAAATGGAAAATACTCAAAATGTGCAAAAAAACCCCAACTCTTTACAAAACTTAAAATATTTGTTGTTCTCACCCCAATCAATCAACTCCATAACACGATCAAGCGATCGGGTCCATCTACTCGGGCTGCATGCGTGATTTTGGGGGTGGTCGGGCGGTTTTTAAAGGTTTGCTAATGCTTTGGGGTTTCCCAACCCCAATTTTTTGACATGTAAAAAAATCGTGTAGATAACCCACAAAAACAAACGGGGATCGAGTAGAAATCCCATGATCGAGAATTTTAAAACGTGTAACAATCAGTTTGGTCCCCGGGTTTCATCTTTGGTAACATGAAATTACCCGAAAACTTTTTAAAACATATCTCGAAATTTCCCACCGGATTTTCCCATGCAAAATTTGAAACCCCTGCTGATCTATTGTCCAGAATAAATAGAAATGCTAACCCCGATCTCTGAAACACACACATTGTTCCCGGGTAGTTATTCAACCATTTCACGGGGTTCACATAACCTATAAATATATAGATGTTAAAAATTAAATTTTGGTGTCCCATTAGTGTTACAAAATTGAAAAATAGGCAACTTTCCCCCAAAATTTTCGGGTTACGATCATTACGATTTTGGGCGGTTTGGAAAACTGGGAATGGGTTGAGCAGAGGTCCAGCTTTGGGGGGGGCTTCATTCCGTGGAATTTTTTAAAGTATCGGGGGCCCAAACCGGTTTTATCAAAATTTTGGGGGGGTGGGAAAAATAAAAACATTTTGATACAATAAACTTTTTGTCTGATGTGATATGTCCCAAAAAAAACAAAAAATAAAATTTTTATATACCTTTTCAAATTCTTTGTATTCTGACAATTTTTTAAAAATCACACGCCCCCATTTAAAATTTTTTGAGATCAATGTCAAAAACCTTTTAAAATTTTTTGGCAGAAAAACTAAAGTTTTTTAAAAAAAGTTTTATTTTAGATCTAAAAACCAATAAAATTTTTCCTATCAAATTTAATGAAATTAAAAATGTAATTAAATATCAACTGCTTTTTGGGATCAGGAAGACAAAATTTAAACATTTATCCAAAGGGAATTTTAAAATTTTGCCAATCTAAAAGGGGTGTACATGGGGCTTTCAAGGGGTTCGCCTTTTCATATCTAATGAGTAAAGGGGGTTGCAAAATGGGGTTTTAAAACACATCTTAAAATTTTTCAAAAAAGATTTTTGAATTATATTTAAAGTGGGTAAAAAATACTTTTTTCTATTAATACCCGAAGGGGTTTACTGGGCCCTTACTTTTTTTCTCAAAAATTTTTTTACAACCCCCTGTTTTTTTGGCAAAATTTAGAGGTAAAAGATTTTAAAATATAAAAGAAACACTTTTTCTTAAGATTGCCCCAGTTTTTTTAGCAAAACATTCAAAAAATTTGAACATTTCACGTTTAAAAAATACCTAAAACAGTTGAGAAAAATAAATACAAAATAATTAATTTTAAAACATTTGGGCAAAAAGCGGGTTTATTTTTGAAAAATTTTTTATTTATAAATGATTATATATAAAAAAAGGGCCAATAAAACATTAAATTCTTAAAATTTAGCGGGATAAAAAGTAATATCGGAAAACACAAACCAAATTTTTGACCAAGGTGGTAAAATTGGGCATTGAAAAAAAAAAATTTCTTCTTTTTACAAATGTGGGGTTTTTTAGAAAAATTACGTTTTAACCCTGTTTTAAAAATTTGATATATAAAAATATATACCTAGATTTCAGTCATTTATTGTTTATGAAAAACTGTTCATAACACTATTTTTGAATTTAAAACTGTTTTTCAAATTTTTTTTTAGGGAAATTTAAAAATTTTTTGCACAATAACTGGGAAAAAAAATCTTTAAATAAAACGAAAAACCCCCCCCAAAAAAAAAAAAATTTTTTAAAAAAAAAAAGAAAATTTTTAAAAAAAAAAATTTTTACTTTCATCTAAAGTCACTACCCAAAATATTTTTAAAAAAAATATTAAAAGGGTTTTGTCTTTGTAAAGTTTTTCTCCCCGCCCTTTCAAAAAATTTTAAACAATGTTTAAAAATTTAAAAAAAACAATTTTTTTTCAAATTTATATCAGAATAAATTTAAAATAAAAAAAGGGCAACTTTAAAAATTTTTACCCACTTTTTCCAAATTGCAAAAGAGGGAAATTTTATCTAACTCAAGTTTAATCTTGTATTTCCTCAGAAAATTTTAGTGCAATAAAGGTCTAACTCTTAAATACAAATTTGTAAACTTTAATAAAAAATATTATATAAATGGATTTATTTTCTTAAATTATAATTAATGTTAACATAGCAAAAAAAAAATTTTTAATATAATAAAGTATTTTTGAATAAAACAGTTTTTTTCTTCCTGAACATTTTCAAAAAATACAGTTAGACCTAATTGCCTGACCCATCGACAGTTGGTAAAACCAAACAGATTAATGGACGTTTCGCGTTATTGAGAATGCCTACAGTCCCCCTTTTTTCCGGCGGCGAGGGGTAAACAAAGCAAAACACACAACATGTTATTTTATTCAACAGTTATTTTGGGTTATTTTTCAATAATGGGATCAATAAAAATCGGGCGACTTCATCTTCGCTTTCATGTAGGATGTCGGCGAAGTCAGGCGGAATTCGGCGACTATTTCGCCCGAATCGCCCAGTAGCTCGAGCCCTGTATTTGTCGGTAAATTTAATTGCGCCGATTAAGTCTTTAATACGCAATATTGATGATGAATTATTATATAACATCAACAATTATATGTACATCAGCATTATTTAATTCAGATGTGATAATCAAACAGTTTAAAGCAATCAATTAACCAAAAAGGTATAGCTGTGAAAACAAATCCTTTTAATAAGTTGGTAGTATCTTTCATGTCTTTATTCCATGTAAATAAAAGATGGTTTCGTGAGTGTTAATGCGATAATTAGGAAGAAATGCATAGAATTTCGAGTTAAAAGGTTTAAATAAATATAGTTTCCAACAATATTTTTTCAATTCATTTGAATGTTTTTATTGAATATGCTCATCATTATAATTAATACGGGGAAGTCAAAGTCCGGGCCCGCTTTGCGGGCCCGGGCTTTGGCTTGCCCGGCTATAGACTACACGTGTATATTTAAAAGAAAATTCAAATAAAAAACAATTAAAAAATATATAGAGTTCTATACCTATCAATAAAATTTTCAGTGTCAGTTCTAGATAGGCGCCGCCATTTACAATGTAACTCAATGATAAAAGGCGGTGTATTCTGATAACGTAACATATCTCAACTTTTCGGATTAATAATAATCGTCGAGTGTTCCGAGTGAAAACGGAAGTGGGTACATATAATACCGAATGACACCTTTAAAACGGAAAGAATGAAATGATTTTTTTAACGACTTCCCCGTTCATAGGCTTTGCCTAATTTCATATTATTTGTTTCGTTTTTTATTAACTTATATTCAAAGAATATTTACTGTGTAAAAAGTATTGGAATATTACTAAGTGTTTGGAAAATTGATAGTGTTTTGCGTTTAATCTAATATAATTGATCATATCATTATTATTGTTAATTAAATTAACACATTAAGGTTTCTTTTCCATGATATGTCAAAAAAAAGTTTAGTTTCCCTAATTTAACATCTTTTTCTTTAAACGTGCTATTTTGAATAAAAACACTATTCATCAACTGATAAAGTACTATCAGAAGTTTGATCTTTTTACAGTATATCCCTAAATATGTCTAAGCACTATGTACAATGAATATATAAAATAAATAATAAAAGATAACATCATTGAACTTTTGTTTTTGTTGTTAATTTTTATCTTATTTCTTGATAAGTGTTTACATTTTAAAGCAAAATAAATAATAAAAAAATGGGGCCGGGTTGACCAGAAATAAAATTGGTTTGGGGCCGGGTCAACCAATTTGGGACCGGGCTGACTTGGGGCCTGGTTGACTTGGGGCCGGGTTGACTGTAATTCATTCTATTGGTATGGGTTGGAAAAGAGTCAACTCGGCCCTATACCAACTCGGCATGGGTCAACTCGGCACGGGTCAACTCGGCCCACTTTACAAAAATATACATAACGTATTAACTTTGCTTTGCATGTTGTTAAGGTAAATGAATAATGAGAAATATCTTATTATTATATAATTTTACATTGTAGATCTACTTCTACGGAAATAAAGTATATTTAGAAAAAAAAGTTATTTATTTGTCTTGCAGATTCGATAAAATTAATATAGATATAATGAAAATGTGTTTCCTTAGATGCATTTTGTTTGTATTAAAAGTACTATTCAAAAAATAAGAACCAAAAAGGTGTTCACTTTTAAATATCATAAGCTTCTAATTAATTGCAGGTGGCCACTAATCAAATTTGAATGAATGAGTTAGTTGGACACTGAAGGTATTTAAATTTACGGTTAAACCTACCACGAGTCAGAAATACAGTGAGATACGCAATCAGTTATCTTTACTCACTATTCTACTGATAAGAAAGCCTGTCTGCTGCTAGTTCGGAAACTGTCAATCCATGGATTATAAATTATTACAATAATTACAATAAATAGTGATAACACAAACCTAAATATTATTAATTGAAAAGTGGGCCGAGTTGACCCGTGCCGAGTTGGAATAGGGCCGAGCTGACTCGGGGGCCGAGTACGTTTTAGGGCCGAGATGACCCGGATTCGTATGGGTTATGTGAACTCCCAAAATCCTAAAAAAATCCGACTTGGGACCGAGGTGACTTGGGAATACCTACCAGTAGGTTCAGGTTTCAAAGCTGGATTATTATCTTCAATTTCTCCTTCTTCCCTGTCGAATCCTTCTGGATGTTGTTCATAATATCTGTCATCGTCTCTCCCTCTATGTCGTCTTTTTACTTCACGTTCTTTGGAACGAGACCTTTCTCTGGACCGGGAACGGTGTTTTCGCTTCTTTTTGTGCTCCCGATCTTTCTCTTTGTGTTTTTTCGAAGAACCCATTTTATCTTTATTTCACAATTACTCTATTAAGTCAATTTGATGTATTAAATCAAAAATATCAATATAAACAAAGTTTTTCCACGTTAAAATCAACCGGAAACGGAAACATAACGTTTATATCGGTGTGCTTGTGAATCTTCCATGTTATATAAATACATCATGAAAGTATTACACCGCTATTTTTATCAGATCGAACGCCACTAAATGAATTCTTATATCATTGCTGCAAGTGAAATAAATCTAGTGAAATTCATCTAAAAATTATATTTATCTCATGCTTTTTAGTAATTTTCAGTCAATTTTACAAGTATT